TGTGTGTGTGTGTGTGTGTGTGTGTGTGTGTGTGTGTGTGTGTGTGTGTGTGTTGGTATATTTGCATGTATATCCGTGAGTGTACAGGTGGATTAGGTGAGTGTTTGCTTCCACACGTGTCTCAACACAAAGGGAAGCCCACAGAAGCAGGGATGTTTACTGAGTCGGAGTTCAAACCTAACGTAGCACCTTTTTTAGTACTGACCACTGAAACTGCCTAAAGTTCACTTTAGCTGCAGCAGTGGTGGTGGTGTGTTTAGGATAATATTCACAAGCATTTAAACGTTTTCAGTTATTCACCTGATTAACTTTAGGAAAACAAAATGGTTTTGGTTCAAATCAGTGAATATTTTGTGTATGATGGCTCGCTCAGGACAGGACGGCAACCGCCCCATGACTAGAAAAAAACGATTACAAGTAGCTGCGGTAACAAACTGAGTTTGAACATGCCTCACCTTTAATCTCTCTTTGCGCAGACCGTTCTCATCCCCAACGCGTAACATACCGACGATTTGTCATGTCTCGAGGCATCCCATAGGAACGCGAAAGGTGACCCCTATGATACGCGCCGGATTGTGGATGGCATACAATGGAACGACGCTCCCGGCGGTAACACGCATTCCAGCCGTGTCCAACTCTAACCTTTATCCTAACCCTAACCTTAACCACAATCTTAATCGTATTAGATAGTGTTTTCCAAAGCGATTAATGATTGGGAAATCATTAATCGCTGAGAACGTGTTGCTCTGCGCCCACTGTCAACCACAGGTCGCCTGGCGGGAGGCTATCTGTCTCCCAACAATCCCAGTCTGACTCGGAGTGACTGCAGTCCGACTCAGACAGTTCGGTGACTTTTCGAATTTCTCTTTCAGATCTGTGAGGTTCTCTCTGGACTCTGAATGAAAGGCATTAACATGAATATCTGTGCATGAAGATTTACGATTTTCACCAGTTTATCACCACAAACAGACTGCATGTAATAACCAGTTCACCCACTCAGTTGACCCCATTCAGTCACAAACTGAGAAACTGAATCCATCTTATTGGCATTTTATTGCCTTGACAAATTTGCTTTGCAGACAGCAGCAGACCTGCTCCCCGTCTACAAAGCAACTGCTTCAGACAATGACTTTGACCATGCTGCGGTCCCTATACCATTGTTTCCCCCCCGTGACTACGACATTAATGAAACATGTTAATAATTAAAATTTCACAATGAGTGCCCAAAACATAAATAATGTATACATCCATAATCCATCCTTAACTGCTTATTTGATCTAAGTTTGCAGGGCTTGCCCAGAGACAGAGGGCCAGCAGAAAGACAGACAATAACTCATGCTCAGATTCACACCTGCACAGAACTCAGAATGTCTGGACATGGAGGCAGTCGGAGCGCTCGCAGCGAGCATTAGCAACAATGCTAACAGATGTTCTACTGTGACCCCAAATACCAACAAGTGAGGAAAATCACTCACTGCTGTGTGTGTGAGAGCTTGTGGACATGAATGTGAAGAGGGGCGTTTCCTGCTTTTGGGGTTATTAGAGCCCACGACTGTCACACCTGAGGGATGCTCTCTAACACACTATCTCCACACACCACACACACACACACACACACACACACACACACACACACGACACACACACACACACACACACACACACACACACACACCACAGATGCACACAAAGTGATAATTGTCTTCATATCCTGTGTTTGGATTATTCAACACAAAACAAACATGCATCACGTTGCTATGTTTCAAAGAGGCCACACACACACACACACACACACACACACACACACACACACACACACACACACACATCGGGTATTCATATCTTGTGGGGAATCTAATTGACATAATGTTTCCCGAGCCCTTCTAACCCTAACCATGAAAAATGAATGCCTAACCCTCAGCCTAAACCTAACCATAACCTAAATGTAACCTGTCAATAAAACCACATTTTGAGTCTCAAAGTTGTCTTCAAACTTGTGGGGACCAGGGCATTTTGTTCATAAGTAACTGTTGGTCCCCACAAAGATGTGAATGCACGCTCACACATATACACAGACACACACACCTGTTTGGTCAATCAATCACCTCTAGGATGATATCAATCAGTTACTTCCTGCTGCTGTTACAAAAACGACTTGATACCAAAACTAGGAGCAACATAGAGCTTTTAAGCTCTATGTTGCTGAGCCGTTCATCACTCAGTTTCAAAGTGGACCCGCTCTGCTGGTTTCGCCGTGTTTTCATCTTAAGCTCTGCGTGATTTGGTGAATTACGTTTCTCTGCATGACTCAATTCCTCCTGCAGCTGACAAGACACCAAACAAAGGATGAAAGGAAAGATTGGTGGCGAGCTGAAAGAGGGAGCCCGCGGAAATAAACAGCAGACATTTAAGATGCCAAACATAACTGAGGGAAAAACAGCTAAAACGCCAAAGGGAAGACGGACAGCTCAAAGCGGGACGTGCCGTTAGCTGGGTCTGTGTCAGACCCCGTGTTTTATTGATCCGAGCTTTAATTGGCTCAGATACTCTATGTAGACTGCTGGGCTGCCCTGAGACACACACACACACACACACACACACACACACACACACACACACACCACACACACACACAACACACACAACACAACAACACACACACACACACACACACACACACACACACACACACACACACACACACACACACACACACACACACCTGCCAGATTCCAGCAGATTTTTGCTTGCGGCTGTGAGCTCGTCAGCATCTGCAGTAATAATCCACAGAAACACTAAGAAAGCACCAAACAAAGGTTTTTACTGTTGCTGTCCTTTACAATGAAGCCCCGAGGCTGCAGAGAAAGATTTCTGGCATAAAAGTGACGAATACAAATGATTTAGGACAATAAATTCTGAAAAACACTTTGTATATGCAAGGAAGGTTTGCTGAATACAAACAGGCAGCAGCACTTCAACACTCAAATTATACCGTGCAATACAAGCACTTTAAATACTTTCATGTTTTATCTATTACGCAGACACTCAGACTCAAAATCAGACAGAGACGTAAAGAAATTCTCGAGAACAACGATCTGACCCAAACAGAGCCCTGATCGCGGCGACGCGAAGCACAAGAAGAACAAAGTCAATCTAAAACAAGACCAAGAGCACAAAACCAATTCTACAACTGGATAATCATAATGGACTCGGACTGGGATCACACGAAGAAACAGAAGAATCCAAAATAATGTGTTTACAAGTTTTATTTATATACCACCGAATCACAACTACTGTTGCCTCCGTTGTTTCTCCATCAGTACTTTATATTGTAAAGATGATAATACAGAGAAAGAGTGAGAAGGAAAAACTCGCTTGGTCGCGTATCCATCATTTATTTATTCTGGTCAAAGCTGATTCTGACTAGAAAAAAATTAAAAGAACTGAAGAGGCAGAGGAACCAGAGAGAGACTACATGAAGGAAAAGTTTGTGCCAAGGACAAAATTAAGCGCCAAACCAGACTGAAAGCGATCTAAACTTGGTCCGAACGGATTCTGGTATTTATTTTTCATATGAAAACGCTGTAGGTACAGATAGTGGCTTCTTAGTTACCTCCAGCTGCTTATTACCACATAATGAACCTTGTTACAGATGTGTTATCTGAAACATCGTTTAGACTTTTAAAGGCGGATGCCGTTATGTCCAAGTTTTATTTATAACTTGAGACTTCACTCATCATGATAATTGTAATCAAGGACACTTCATATCAACCAAAACTGCATAATTAGCATACAAGCTTCACATCCTGTCTTTATTAAAGATAAACTTAGAGCTTGAATGCTTTTTGTTCGTTTCTTAAGCGTGTGCAGCACAGAGATGCATCGAGCAACATGAGCAGAGACCCGCTGTCACTCATTTTCCATCGTACATCCACTGTTACAACGTTGGATCTTCTTAAAACATCATCCCTGCAAACTAAACACTCCCTCAGCTTTCCGGTTGCTCCAAACACTCAAGTCAACCAGTTGTTTCTGTCCCGTTAAGCTGTATGATGTCACAGAGAGGGCGTAACCCTAAAGTGGTCATCTTGGGGCAGAGTGATCCGCCTGGTTCGAAAGACATTGCGGCCAGCTCTGGGAACCCCTCTGAGAATTTCTCAGAACTTGAAGCAACATCTTCAAATGAGTTATTTTGTCGGAGCAACAGTCCCCAAAACAAACACATTCCTCACATTAGAGAAGAAAAAAGCCCAAAATGATCACATTTTTAACTACTGAGTGGCTTAAATGACTCATCGACTGCCAGACTGCTTCCTCATTTGTTTTCCTTTCACTGATTAATCACTGTTAAACAACGTCTTGCTCCAGGCCGGACAACAGGGCAACCTCACCTTTCATCCATCTAACTGCATCTGTTTATCCATCATCTGCCCGCACAGCCTGACAGACACGCAGAACAACATCGATTCCTCTGTGGTTTTAAAGAGCCGAGTGGACAGAGAGGACGGATCAGATATATTCTCATGAGAAGCACAGAGGCAGTCTCCCTTGAAATTACACATTTTATTAACTCATCCTCTGTGGCCCAATAAAGGAGCAGCTCATCCTTCCTCTGTGTCCGTCCCTCCATCTCACACACTGGTTAACTTTACCGCAAATTATCCCTCAGTGTCCTGACTCGTTGCTTCTGCCATGATGACACCATCCATTCCCTTTGGCAGTAACTGAAAGGAAAGGAGCAGAAATACTGTGCAGGCCACATCACACCGCCGCTCCTTTAACCTCGAAAGAAAGTTCCTTTCAAAGAATCAAATTTGCATGACAAAAACTTTACAGGTTATCTTAAAGACCCAGAGAGGAGACTCATTACTCTGCAGGTGTAGGTCATCCACACCGTGCACATGCTGCACGCCCCAGCCCTGAAATAACCGCTGGCACCTGGATTCCTCTTTGTAACTTAAAGCCGACCTCGGAGTTGATTTGTCCAGAGTAGATGCTCGTTCTTCCACATGATGTACTGGCTCACTGGGAATTTGGACTTTTTCACACTCATTCTTTGGTACCCAGGGCTTTCAGCTGGGGGGTAAAAACAAGCGGAAACCACAAGGAGCTGTGAAGATGGTTGGAGTTTGTTCGTGTTTTTGTCCATTTTGTCTCAAGTGAAGTCGAAGCTTCAGGAAACGTCGAACTCAGGTGATCTCTTCATTTATTTAAGTCTGATTTATTTGAGATGTTTCAAATTTCAGATTAAACTTTTGATTTCTGGCATCCACTGCAGCTCACAACGTCAATCATTTTTAAATACGCCTGTTGTGAATAATGTTCTGCATTAACCTCCGGAGCTGAATAACTAAAGAGCAAAGCGACGTCAGGCCCATCATTTTTAAACATCTTGAACTATTTGTTCACATGTTTATTTTCTTTGTTTAATGTGTAAATGAGCTCAGTGGGGTTCATGCTTTGCTTTGCTCTCTAATGTTTTCTCTCCATTTCTCTGTGCAAACACATTAAACTTGTAGAGCAGCTTTCACAAAATAATGTGGAACAAAATGAGTTCCACATGCTTGCTCGCCTGTTAGCGCTCCTAACGTTCTACCAGCACTGAGCTGCAGAGAACCTTGTTTAAAGGTCCTTAAATAAACAAAGCTCAGTTGCCGCTTTGTGAACAGGTCGAAAAGAGAGAAACGCCACAGGTGATCTTACCTGACAGTGAAGTCATACGAGCAGGACGCCAGCACAGTCTTATCAAAGGGAGAAAACTGCAGGAAAAGGAACAAAATGGAAAACGGTTTATTGAGATCATGTTTCCAAAGGAAGAAAGGAAGAATATCAAGTTATCAGCTTTAATCTCCATCACGAACACCTGCTGCTTTCCTCAAATATTCATAATCTGATTACAAAGAAACAATAATATGTAATAATGTGAAGGGGAGTCAAAAACCCTTCAGAGGGACATGCTGCAGACCTTTTAACCTTAAATCAGCGTGGAGGTGAAGGAGGTAGGGCATGTTTGACAGTCTGAAGGTTTAAATGAAAAAAATGACACATTTTACAACGTGTCATTGGAACTTCGAGCTCCGCTGTGCACACACAAGATAATAACCACAACGTGAAAAAGTGCTGAAATGTTTTAGGCTTTTAAAGTAAAAATTACTGTGTGTGTTTTACAAAAACGCCAGTAATAACTGCAGTTTTCCTTTCAAAACATGCAGAACAACAGAAGACGCTGCTCAGTTTGTGCTTCATGCACATGCCACTGTTTCTGATGCTGAGCTCCAGTTTGTCCCCATCATCAAAAAAAAACAAACAAAAAAAAACTACATGTGTCTCCATCATGAAAGAAAAACAGCTTCCGGCAGGCTGAGCAGAGTTTGCAGCATTTCTCTGCTCAGCAGTTTGTGCAGAGACACGGAGAGCCTGCGAGGAGTCCACAGAAAGCGATTTCACAGACGAAGCACTCCCAAATTAATTTATTCGCTCATTTGTTCCCCTCTCTGCGTCTGACAGTTTCACCTTTCATATCGAGTCCTGGCCTCGTTTAACATCCTTCTCTTTACTGCACTTCACGTTCATTTAACGCTGCTTTACTTGCAAACACATTTATTACCAAAGTAAAACCCAGGCAGCTGTGACGATGCAGCAGAAATGTTTGGTTTGCAGGTAAGCTGCTCAGAAACTGCTAACCAAGCAGCAGCTGGCAGGGCTGGAAAGTAAAGGCATCACAGAAGCACCAAAAACCGCACTTCCTATGACGTCCACTTAAGGCTGCCGGCAGCAGTGAGTCGGTCCTCATAACATAGCTTAAAGATCGAGGCGGGGCCGCTTTACCTGACAGGTAGAAGTCGACACAGGTGGGTGTAGCTTACAGACTGTCCACAAGTCTGGTGACATTCTACCATCTGATCTGTTATTTAGCAGCAGTTAGCAGATGTGTGTGTCTGTGGGGTTTATATTCCCTCATTATCTCATTCAGACTACACTTTATGTGCCCAACCGGGACAATGTAGTGAAAAACGATAAAAAAAAAAAAATCAAGGCTTTGAATGAGGACTCAACAAACCAGTGAGTGAGGTCACAGTGAAAGATCCATTGATAGTTTACCCCAGGTTTGGTTTGGCTGGGGTTTGAGTGAGGAGCCTTTCACCTGTAAAGCCAGAGCAGTACGCAAAACGGACTGAGCACGCTCTGACTTGTGTACTTAGAGACAGGGATTCCTCTTTTGTCAGAGGTTCATTACGTGCTGATCACTCGTCTGTAAGAAACTCGCTCGCTCACTGTGAATTTTTGATGTGACAGCCGAACAGAAGCGCCGCGGTCCGCCTCTGTTCATTGCTTTATTTTTATCTCGTTACGCTCCTGCTGCCGATCACCTTGTTTGTGCTCCCTGCAGAGAATCGATACAAGCTGACAGATTTGCAAATGGTGACAAGCAGTTTCAGAGCAAGTCTCCTCGATCGATGGGGTACAGCTGTGCTGAAAAAGCCCACAGCAGCAGCTCGACGGGCTGAACCTTTAAAATAACAGCCTGGCTGATCTGAACAGGTCATTGAGTTTTTTTTCTTGACTCTTGAACATTTAAATGTCAGTGAATCTGCCAAGAGTCAACAGGAATGATATCAGCCGATATCCATGTTTGGCCAATATATTAGTGTATCCCTAATGAGGATCACAGTTACTGGGAATGAATGAGTCTAAGCAGACTCCGCGTTATTGAATGCAGAATGTTTATGGTTATTATGCTGTGAACATGCTAACCTGTAACCTGGAGCGCTTCTGTGTGCTTCGTTAGATATGAAATTCTCAGACTTTATCTCAGCATGTTCCTTTTTATCCCGTTCTGGTGACCCAGTGTGTGTTATGAATGCTTTATTATGGAGAATGGCTCTCCATATGTCCGTCTAGTTTTTCCACTTCTTCGTACATTCCCTCATGCCCATTCCACCCAATCTGATGACATCGGTCAGTCCTCATTTTGATGCTATAATTATTTTTCCTGTTGTTCTCTCACTGATAAATGTAAAAACCACAGAGAAAAGGTGGCAGAATCGACAGTAGTGAAGAGGCACGACATGTGGTTATGTTTCAGGGAAGTGCACGTCAGGGTACGGTGCAGTGTTTTACAGAGGTCTGTGGTTACGACATAGCGACGATGCCACAATAAGTCTGCACGAAATCTGCATCAGTGTAATGTCCTCCAAGAGAGTGCGTGTGTGTGTGTGTGTGTGTGCGTGCGTGCGTGCGTGCGTGCACGCGGGCGTGCGTGCGTGTGAGTGAGAGAACAGCGCACACATCACTGCACACACACACGCACACACAGTCTAGCACGAGAGTGAGGTCTTATTACCACCATTTGGTTGGGTGTTTTGACGCTGTCAGACTTCACACTACATCTCGACCAGCACACACACACACACACACACACACACACACTTACTTGGAGGACATTACACTGATGCAGATTACAGTGAATATGCTTCAGCGGCACACACTTAGGCTACGTCTACACTAATCCGGATAAATTTGAAAACGGTGTTTTCGTCTAAAAATGCTCCGCGTCCACACTATCATTTTCAGTCGTTTCAGAACATTTGTTCATCCACACTGAACCGGCTGAAACGCTTACGTTCCTGCATTGCGCATTCATGAAACTAAAGACGATTCAACCTCTGTTATTTGAGAATTAAAGAATTTAAAGAAAAGCTATCAGTACAAACTGATATTAATCTTTAATAGGGTCGTCAAAATTGACAGCAAACAAAACATCTGCCCTATAATGCCCTCTGCTATCTTAGTTTCATTGGTCACATGACTGCATCATATGACTAAAATGTGTCATTGTTTCCGAAAGTCTCAGTTTATGCAGTCTGTGTGTGACGCGAAAACATTTTTCATGGTTAGGGTTGGGGGTAAGGGGCTAGGGAAAGCTTTATGTCAATTAGATGTCCCCACAAGATATATAAACCCAACACGTGTCTGTGTGTGTGTGTGTGTGTGTGTGTGTGTGTGTGTGTGTGTGTGTGTGTGTGTGTGTGTGTGTGTGTGTGTACCTTGAGTCTGCGGATGGCGTACGTGTGTCCCAGCAGTTGATTGACAGGCTGCCGGATGTTCCTCAGGTCCCACACACACACAGTACAATCCACTGAACCTGTGGCCACAACATTCTGCAGACAGACACCAGCTAATCTTTACAAAGCTAACCGGGTAAAAGGTCACAAAATCAGATGTAATTTTAGTGTTTGATGCAGACAGTAAAATGCATTTAAACAAACACACTTCTCTGTATAAATGAAGGCTGGCATAGAGGTTTTTAAATGTATTGTTTGTTTGTTTTTAAGTATCTTTTAAACCAAATATGCCATTTAATATATGGAACCTTTTAACCAACTGGAGGGCCTGTACCTGGTCATATTTGCACCAATCACAGCTGAGGATCTCTGCCTTGTGCGCTGGGATGGCCAACCTGCACACCGCACCCTTCACATCCCAAATTCTGAGCGTCCCGTCACCTGAGAGTACAAATAGAAAGAGAAGAGTATTCGAGTTTATATAATATATCCAGGTGTTTTTGTGTAAATATGCCTTGTTTTTCTGTGTTTCCTCAGTTTTATCGCCTTACCTCGCTCAGTATTTGTTCTATTTTATTTCACACACAGTCAATCCAATATATCTTTATTTGTTTGAGAGTCAGCAATAAAAGTGTTTGGTTAGAGCAGCTCAACCTGCAGGAGTTTCTGAGAGCTTCTCTTATCATATCTGCTGACATGGGGGGAAAAAAATCAATTCAGGACGCCTGAAAATGACTGAAAACACATTTCCTGCAGAAAAAGAAAGAAAAGGCGTCCAGACAGCTGAGATTTGGGCAGAAACTTCACATACCACTGAAAAACGCTCAATGATGAAGACAAACTATGGAAATGGAGGGCTTATAATATGACCTTCTACTGGATTTACATTTGTCCCATTATCAATGTGCTGATCCCAACTCACTCGCCATCAGCCATGAAGTGAAATAAACTTCTGAGGTGAAGAATTTAAGAGAAGGATGTGAAGAGAAATCTAAAAGAAGTGAGGTGGAGACTGAAAGTAAAAGGAGGTTAATTGAGGGGAACACTGCTGCCAGTGTTTCGAGTTCCTGCTGACGTCAGCTTTTATTTTAGCGCATGAGCTCCTTCATTTCATCGTCTCTCATGAGTTATGGGACTCATTTCAGGGACCACTCATTATGGCATCCACACAGATCTGTGTGTGTGTGTGTGTGTGTGTGTGTGTGTGTGTGTGTGTGTGTGTGTGTGTGTGTTAGTCTGACAAAATTCCACGAAATGCGAATTCCAAATTAAAAGCTGATTTTAAATCTGAACCTCTTTCCCAACGTGATAAACTCAGACTGACCAGAATGTTCCTACTGGTCAACACACACACACACAGAAAAGTGTGTGTAAGTGAGTTTCTGGGCAGAGGTTGAGGATTTGCCAACACACTGCGACAATCATCAAGCAGAACTTTTACACCCCTCCTCCTCCTATTCTTCCTCCTCCTCTTCATTCAGAGGTTTATTCAAACTGCAGTGAAGACCTCGGTGTTCTTCACGTCGACCTGGCAGCAGTTTTTTTTTACTTCCGTCTTAAAAAAACTTGACTGTCACAGACTAAGACTGAAGCCACAGCAGAAAAACCTCCAAATAAAACTGACGGAGTTAAAACCTCCAACCGACTCCCATTCAGAAAGCTTCACCCTTGAAATACCAGTTTTACTTCTATGACTACATCCTGGTTCCCTGTGCTGACGGTCCGTGAGTCAAGTCCCAAAGCTTGTGTCCTTATTTCTGTCATGCACAGTACATCTGCTGTTTCAGTCAGTTTGCACACCGTGTGTTCCACTGTTCCCATATGGAAAAGAAATCTTCTAAAAGACTTGCATCATATAGTGAATCATATAAGGCTTATATGATTTACTCATGAAAGTGGCCACTTTCTCATTACTTTCATGTATTGTTTTAAGAAGTATCCAAAACATGCAAGTTTCATTTATATAATTTTTCAAGGGATCTTATATCTGTTTTCACTCTTGTATGCTTTTCATACAAGTTTCACACAAGACAGATACAAACTTTACAAGATTTATATATCTTTTCAATATGGGTTGGCTCTGAGTGATGTCAAGGAGGGTGGGCGTCCTTAACCTGGTCATGATGGCCATCCACCCGTTTGTGAGGAGCGTCCAAACAGAAGAACGCTGCATCCTAACGCTTGTTTCAGACAGAGGATGAACTGAGAGGTGCAACCAGACCAGCATGACATGAAGGACTGCAGCTATATCAGACAGCACAAGTGATGAAGTCAAACATGTTGTCTGCATGTTCCTGAGTCACTGTAATGATGGAAGGACTGAGGCGTGAAGTCAGAGTTGGGTTAGGGTTTGGCTCTCAGCTGTGATGGTTTCAAGCTTTAGAAGCTTGGGAATAAACCCAGTGTTGACATTTATTCTGGCAGAGCTTTATTTAAATTTGTAATAATGTCAAAGAGCCAAAGAACAAGGATAGGGGATAAAAGTTGGGGCCACGTATCTGGGAACAGAATAAATGTGGCTAATGGGATTGTGTGAGCGGCTCTCCTGAAACAACGCCACCTGAAGCCCGTTGGAGGCCAACAGGCTGAATAATCAGCTCCAGGACAGATTAAAAAGCAGGCCGAGGGGAGCCGCTTCTCCCAGGCTTCACCTCCTGTTTGCTGACCAGCACATTAATCTCCTTCTCTTCTTCACTCCTTGCACCTCCTCTTTAATCCCAGCAATGGCTCTGCACCCTCCCCCAGCATCCCTCCACACGGCTCTTCATCGATTCTTTGAGTAACATTTTAACCCTTATCCTCCTCTTCCTCTCTGGTTCTTTTTCTCATTCACACTCTGAGGTGTGTGTGTGTGTGTGTGTGTGTGTGTGTGTGTGTGTGTGTGTGTGTGTGTGTGTGTGTGTGTGTGTGTGTGTGTTCTGCAGTGCTGACTTCTGTAAAAGGGTCACGGTTTATTACACCTATAATCGCTGCTGTATCAGCAGGTTCAGCTAATACACACACACACACACACACACACCTGCAGCCACGCTTTAGCGTCTAACACTTCTTTTCTTTTTCTTTTTTTTGAGTCAACTGTCCAATTACGCTTGCTCTTTGTAAAGAGGGGGCTATGTATAATTATATAAGAGTCACAAATCCAAACCCTTCCTCCAGTTTGGACACAAATGCAGAGAGTCTGCGCTTTAAGCTCGTATTATGTAACAAAAGTGATCGTAGCACACAAATAAACAAGGACACTAGCTGTAAGCACAGCCACAGAGGATCATTTACACAAATAAATAAGTGAGAAACAGATTTCTATGTTTGATTCCAACCACAGCAAACCTTCACTTAAGGATGAAATTCAAGCTCTTCAACTGTGAGAGAGAGAGAGAGCGAGCGAGCAAGAGAGAGAGCTGCTGTGGCTGCAGATCAGAAACGAGGAGTCAAGACGCCCAACAGCTGATAAAAGCTTGAAGAGTTTGGTCCATCCACACTCAGCAAAGTGGGGGTGATTTCCTCTACTCATCTCACTTAAAGACTTTACAGTGCATCAGGAAAGTCTTTGTTTCAACACCAGAGTTTCTTTTTGTGTGTGTGTTGAACTGTGTGTGTAGAACGTCTGTGTGTGTGTGGACCACAGTGTGGGTAAATCATTCTGGTCCACACACACAAAGTCATCATGTACTGTTTTCTGAATACACCCCTGTCAACACTAATATAAGCATTATTATACACATAATGTATGTAGGTGGTTAAAATGCTTAAACAAAAACCTCACATCTAAACCTCGCTTAAAAAAGGTCTCTGGAGAATTTGGTGGTCAAAAAGAGCCGTCTGATTCCAAACTGGTTCCAGCTGCTGATGGCATCTCTGCTGGCTCCAAACCTCCTCTGGACAGGGGAGCACTGCTCTCTCTTCACGCCTTACTATTTGCATTTTAAAACCTTTTTTCTCGTTTCACTTGAATTTCCAGAGTCCAGGCTTAATGTGATCACAGCGAGTGTGTGGGAGACTGTAGCAAAGAGGGTGCAAATAAGAAGCTGCAGCAGGAGCTGCAAACAAAGATTTACATGATTGTTTTCAGTAGCAGACGAAGATCAACCACCTCCAGAGCTTATCTGAAGCACCACGACCACTGGTTCAAACGAACACGTGTGCAGTTTCATCGCATCTTTGATCAGAGCGAGCTGGCACAGCAGCAATCAAGCAGAGGAATTACACGCAGACGAACAGCTTCTTTATATTCTGAGATTACTTTCCGTCACAGCTGTGCTCGTGTGCAGGAGACAACGAAGAGAGGTGGCTGGTAGATGAATGTAAAGCCTTCAACATACACAAATAAATGTGGGTTTCGCTGACTCACAAATCCAAGCATCTCAGCAGCTTTGTCTCCAGTAAAAACCACGAAATGCAATCAGCTCATTAAAATGAAGGATGCTGCACAGAGTTCAACAAGTTTGTGGAATGAGTCCATAAAATCTACCATACCTGCTTTTAATTTGGCCCATTACTCATCCATTTTGGGATTTCAGCACAGACTTCACACTTGCAGAGATCAAACATCCAGCCAGCTGCCTGAAGGTGGATCATCGGGTGAGGAACACTCGCAGGGTTGTGCACCATGACTTCCTTCCCCGGGTCAGACTGTTAGCACAGAGTCTGCTTTAACATCCTGAAGCATCTGAAGGACATGACCCAGAGCGTGCACTGAAAACAGGATTTTCTCTCCTTTCTGGTAACGATGGCTTCGTGTAGCTGCTCCCTGGATGCACATCCAGTTTAAAAGTGGCAGAGATGTGAGCATGAGCACTCAGTGCTGAGATGAACCTTTAAAACTTTAATGCAATGACCAGGAAATAAACTGAAGGAAGAATTGCCTTGATTGGTAAGTTGTTATCAACCATTGGTTACTTTGTCTGTGAGATAATTATCCATTTGCACACTGATTTGCAATTTCATTCATTTAAAAAAAAAAACAAAAAAAAAAAAACAACCTTTATTGTTCATATTCTAGGATCATTGTTTCGATACACTGGAGTAGATCCAGCGTGCACCAGCAGGAGCGATCGGACAAAGTTTAAATCCAGTTTCTATTTTCATGGGCTGAACTTTTTGATTGCACCTGTAATTTTACAGGCTTTCTGTCAATATGATGGACAGAACGTGAGTGACCATCGTTTATTTAACCTCAGTCGTTCTGGGCCTTTTTTTAAATACAGGAAACAGGAATGACACGTGTAGGTGGAGTCTGAGTTAAACACAGTTCATTGAAAGGTCAGAGTTTAACTGATGATTACTGAAGCTTTGATTCACTGAGAGCTCAGAGCGACTAACCAGCACTGCAGACTCCAGAGGAGACCTGGAGGGCAGATCGAAGCCTAACAAACAGACACAGACCCTCATCTGATTCTCAGGCTGGAGGTGGGGATCTTTGTCTGCCACTGAATCGAGCTAAG